CCACCCTAGGGGCGAACCGCGAGTGGACAGGTAGGAGGAGGACGCGGCGGCGGAGAAAAATTCGGATGCGATGCGACCTCGTGGTGGCTCTCGTCGGTGGCATCAGCTTCTTCTCCACTAGATCCACCACCACCGCCACAACATGGCACCACCCTCCTGCTTCTCTGTCAATGCACCGGTGCCATCTCCAGTGGAGACTCGAGAGGAGCATGAAGGGGGAGAGGAAGAGGACGGGCTCCACAGGTTACTTGGGCTCAACCCGTGACCCGTTAGAACCAGTTGCCATTAAGCGGGTTTTGATGGGAACCCAACCTAGACCGTGTATAACATGGTTGACCGGTCATGCATGGATTGGGTACGGGTTGGTCACCAGGTTTGCTGAGCCAATGAACTAGGCTAGTACTAACCATATAATCCATCATTTTTTTCAAGAACAAACTTGTTGGGTTCATAAACCTAGGGTCCCTAATGGGCCCGCTTTCCAGCAAAAGCTTGGCCCAGCAGACGATGTTGCGAATGATGCACAACTCCTAGGCCGGCCTGGATACCTAAACAATAGGCCGGAAGAGCGATCCAGTCTCCGACCGAAAGGCCTGGCCAAGGAGGGGACGACGCTCGCTTCTGACTCTGACCCACATCTCCGACCGGGAGCCTGGCCAAGGAGGGGACGATGCTCGCCTCTGACTTCGACCCACGTCTCTAACCGGGAGCCTGGCCAAGGAGGGGACGACACTCGCTTCCGACTCCGACCCGCATCTCCGACCGGGAGCCTGGCCAAGGAGGGAACGACGCTCGCTTTCGACTCCGACCCACGTCTCCGACCGGGAATACACCGAACCTCTGCTTATGGCTCTTCTCCGACTGGCATGGTCAGAGCCGACTGGGAATGACCGAACGGGGACGCTCGCGCGGTGAGGACCCAAGAAATCAGACGGAGCAGATAAGATAAGGCGCACAAGTCAAACCGTAATACCGAGGACCGTACCCTGCACACCTGTAGGACAGTACTGTCAGGTCATGTTAGAAGGGTACTTTGCAACCTTCCAGACATGTCAGAACATGAACAGTGTTGTGGGCGCCGACATTTGTCCTACAGTATGGTGGGCGTCGACATTTACCATACCAGAAGAACACGATGGAGCCAACCACATGTATCTGGGCATCAATAGTATTGTGGGCGCCGACAAACCGTCTTGTACCCTATGGCGTGGGCAACCAGACTAGTAGCACACACACTCTCTCCATCTCACTTGTAAGGTCGTCCCCTTCAACTATAAAAGGGGATGCGCCCTCTCCCAACAGGGAGGGACAACAAAAGACAAACGAACAAAGGAACAACAGACGGATCATTCCGACTCACTCTCTGCTAGCTTTAGACATTCTAAAGCTATACAGAGCATACGTTCCAATACTTAGCGCATGTAGGAGCTCCCGTCACTCTCGGCTCTTCTGTCCAGAGTCTGACCGGACCTCTAACACCCCCCATCTTACTCCCACTTGTTTGTAACCCCACAGCAAATTTCGAGCACCTGGGCTCAGGAATAAAGTCACCGACCGACTCAAACTGGACGTAGGGCATGTTGTTTGAACCAGTATAACCCTATGTCATTGAGTACTAGACCACATCCGATCACAACGTATGGCAAAACGATAAATATTTACTTGTTGGTCATTTTTCGCACCGACAAAACTAAATTTAATAATTCTTTCATGTTGAAGCACAAAGCCCAATGCATAATTTTCAAATCTTTTCCACTTAAATAGTCTAAAGTAGTTTAAGATTCTCGTTGAGGATAATTAATTCGGTCACTGTGGTGTCAGAGACTCCTCCAGCCTGTTCACTTGATCGTATTAGGCTTATAAGCTATGACTTATCAGCCAATGAACAGTATTTTTCTCTCACATCAAATCAATCAACAGTACTTTCAGCCATGGCTTATAAGCCAAACAAGCCCAAACAAACAGGGCACTCATCAGCTCGAAGGAACCACTCAGCACAACCAAATTTGGCAGCACCATCAAACATGTTTCAAGGCACCGACGATGATGGTAGGTATCCCTTTGATACTCCGTGCAATTACTGATCGACGATATGGTCGTTGTGGCACTGCTTCTACCTTGTTGAAGGTAGATATTCATCCTGTTTTTTACACTACTTCAGCTTTAGTGAAGGACTAGTGTTTTTCTCTCACAACGGTTCTGTTTTTCAGCACTACTTTAGTAGCGAAGGAACAATGTTTTTCTCTCATAACAAATTAGTATCAACAGCAGCTAAATTTCAACGAAACGAACAGGGCCAACAAATCAGCATCAGCATCAGCAGCAGTCAAATTTTAGTGAAATGAACAGGGCCATTTTATATTAAGAAAAAAGATGAGTATTGGAGCAGCTCTCTAAATGAGAAGAACGTGAGTGTGAGCAACCGGCCATCACAACGCCTATGAACAACGAAGTAAAAATATCAAATACAATGTTCTTGATCTAAGATTAGCATTAATGCAAGAAAACAAACACAGGATTACCAAGTTAGCTCTTAAAATCTGCAGTGCAGGGAATGTGAGGCTTGACTTGCAGACCGTGTTGTGCACATATAATCAAGTCTGTTATGCCTAGGTCATTCTCAATTAGATTAGATTGAACAAAATAAAATATCCCATTCAACAAGGTAGAAACAGTGCCACAACGATCGTACCATCGTCGACCATTGCACGGGAGTGTCAACGGAAATACTCGGATGCGGGCATCTGTCCCCTTGCGTCGATTCAGACGTGGCTTCCAATCCGCCTCGCCCATCTCTCTATCTCTCCACTCTGTCTCACCCTCCCCATCAGGTCTCTCATGTCCGCTGGAAGCAGCAGAGGCTCACGCCGCCACCGTTGCTTCCTTCCTCCATCCAAGCCAACCATGTCTCCTCCCTCAGTTCGCGCAGTGCCTCCACGGCTCTTCCTCAACCCAGCGCTGTCAGGATGCGTCGCCGCCACGGGCCGTCACCGCTGCCCCAACCGATGGCAGCTCGGCGCAGGTACCGGGGCACCTCAGGTCATTTCTAGCCAAGCCGAGGGGCACCTATGAGCGCGGCTGGTACTGGTGGTGCTTGCACGCCGCCGGCTCCCACCCTGACGGCCCGAATTGAACGGCCTTGTTCTCTCCCCCTATGTTGCAAATGTATGTTTCAATTGTTGCAGATGTTTCAGAGGTATGGTGCAAGTGTTTTCGTATAGATGTTGCAAAAGTAGATCGGGATATTGCATATATTGCAATGGCTATACACGTATGTTGCAAACATCTGTTTCAAATGTTTCATCTGTTTTTTCAGACGTATGTTGCAAGTGTTTTTATTTGATGTTGCGTATGTTCACATGTATGTTTGCAAGTGTTTTTTTAGGATGTTGCATATGTATTGCAATAGCTTTTTCAACGCAAGTGTTTTAGACGTATGTTTTAAATATTCATCTTTCTTCAGACAAATGTTGAAAAGTTTTATCTATATGTTTCAAAAGTAGATCGACAGTAGTACATGTTGCAATGTGACTCACTGCCATGACCCTATTTCTGCAATTGCGGGGTGCCGCATATCGCGTGGGAAGCGGAGGGTGGAGCAGCACATGCTCTGCCACGCAGCACGAAGCGGTGTGGGCAGTCCCCGCTTGGCACGGACGTGTAGCAGCCGCGGGCTTCCAGGTGTCCGTCCGGATCGTGTGGGTGTTAGTATTGCCCGATTATCAAAGGACACCTACCATCGCCGAGATTGGCGGACCCAGCACTTGGGCAACTAGGGCCTTGGCCCTAGTCGTGGCCCAAGTTGCTAGGGAGTGAGTAGGTCTTCAGTATTTTTTGGCCCAGCCCATCAGACATCAGCGTCCAAAAGGCAGGGAATAGGGCAGTGCCAGTCCTGAGTCGCGAGTTCGCGACCCTAGCGGCCTCGCCTCCTCACTCGCGTTCAGGCTTTGGTGGAGTCGCGCCGCTCTGCCGCCTGGTCCGCCTCCGCGCCATTGCCCGCTGCTGCCCCTTGTCGGCTCGCCCCCTCTGTCCTCTGATATGCGCTCCGTGGACCGCAGCTCCGCCCTTGGCGGTCATTCATGCCGCCACTGCATCGATCGGCCACCATTGCCTAGCGGTGACCGCCTGCCCTCAAAGACTCGGCCCACGGCTACCACCAAACCATAGGCTCTTGCCACTGGGATCTTCAATGTGGTGCATGACCAAGTTATTGTTGAATTAAATAATTGGTTTGCTGAAAGTTCTACCTAGTTATTGGGATGCATTACATGTTTAGATCCACGGAATTCTTTTGACAAACTAATTGAACTTGATGAGATTTATTTAGAATTCTACTTGATGAGATTTATGATATGATCATGATCAGCTTCTGCACCAACTTCATTCGGATTTTGGCCGTTAAATTTGGCCTAGTCTTAGCCAAATTCTGGGTCCGCCGCTGATCGCCGGTGCTTCCAAACATGGAGCGTGTTAAAGCTGGCATTAAATAAACACGGTAGCAGCTATAAAAATAGAAAAATACTGTAGCTGCAGGTAAATGGTGGAAAAAACATTGTTCCGGCTAGAAAAAAAAGTCTGACCAGCCAGCGAGAAATGGCCAGCCGCAACACGCTCATGGTTGATGGTGCTGCCAAATTTGGCCGTGCTGAGTGATTCGTTCGAGCTGATGATGAGCCTCTGACGGTCGGATGCCCGGCGATGTGGTACAGAGAACTCGCTGGCTGCGGCGCACAAGAGCACCAGCGACGGGCAGTACTCCTCCCCTGGAGTGGAGTGAGCTCACAGTTCGCAAAGCAAGACGAGGTCCCGGGAGTTGACGTGGTAGATCCCGCCTCTCCCATTGGCCAGGCCACGGCACCACCCCGTGTGGCCCCCACCCGCTAAACTGCCAGGAACCTTCCTCTCCTTCCTCGCGAAGCAAGACTTCCGAGAGATAGAGAGCCCGCTATAAAACCGCACGGCTGCGACCACCACGACAAAATATCTCGCCGTCCATCCCCATGGACATCGACCTCTTCCCCGACATCGACCTTGACGCCCTCCTCGCCTCTTTCTCCGGCGAACCCGCCGCCGTCTCCGACCTCATCGTCCCGTCCCCGCCTCCGCCGGCGCCGGCGACGGCGCACGATGCGGAAGCGGGGTCGCCGGAGTCGGTGACCTCCCGGGCGAACCCGCCCGGGGAGGTGGCGCTCTCGGAGATCGAGAGGTTCCTGATGCAGGAGGGGGAGGCGGAGTTGACCGGCGAGGTCGAGGGGATCAGCGTGGATCAGTTCTTCGACGCGCTGTACGACGGCGGGGAGGGGAAAGATGAGGGCGAGGCGGGGGCAAGCACGGATGCGGACTCCGGCAGGGACGAGGTGGTGGAAGTCGTGACGCCAGAGGCGGAGACGGTGGAGGTGGATGGCGATGATCCCGTCAGCAAGAAGAAGAGGAGGTATGTTGATTCTGTTGTGTTAGTGCAGGACGTGTGAAAACTCTTTCCCCTTCGTTTAAGAAATTGAGGGGGATTTATGTGATCATGCTTGCTAGTGAAATTTAGGACCTACATGGCAGTTAGGGATGGACCATATGCCTAGGTTTGGGTGGATTATTGCTTAGGTTGTATGCAGAAATCGTGTTCCATCTAATTCATAATGTTTGGTATTTAGTGTAAACTCTATCGAATGAAAGAAATGTCTGCGAGTGATAACTAGGAGATTCGAATTCGTAATCGTAAATTGCAAAAACTAGGAAGAGTATTTGCAAGGATATTTAGAAGATAGCATATGCACAAATGATTACCTTGGTTGCACTGTGAACTGCTAGAAATTTGGTCAGCAGATGGGAAGAATCTGATTCATGAATTCAAGATGCTTTTTTTTTTTTGTTCTTTTACATTTTGCTTCTAAAGTCTAATTAGGCAATTTTATCTCCTGTATAAAAACAACCTGCCTTGTGAATTTATCAGGCAAATGAGGAACAGAGATTCCGCAATGAAATCCAGGGAGAGGAAGAAGTCGTACATAAAGGACTTGGAGACGAAGAGCAAGTATTTGGAGGCAGAGTGCCGCCGCCTCAGCTACGCACTTCAGTGCTATGCAGCTGAGAACATGGCACTGCGCCAGAGTTTGTTGAAGGATAGGCCTGTTGGTGCTCCCACAGCCATGCAGGAGTCTGCCGTACTCACGGGTAAGCCATATCATCCTTCCTCTAATCTTATCCATTCCCTGAAATTAGATGAATCGATTTGTTTACCATCAATCAGTCCTCTCTGTGGCTTGAACCATGGTTATGATGATCAGTCATAAATTACCAAGCAAGTGACAAATCAAAAGCACAAGGGAAACCGGATTTTTGGTAGAATCTTGCAGTCGTGATGCTAAGACAATTGTCTTTTATTTGCAGAAACCCTGCCGCTGGTTTCCCTGCTTTGGCTGGTGAGCATCGTCTGCCTGTTCCTGATGCCCGTTCTGCCCAACCGAAGTCCAGCTGCTCCAAGCAGCGGCGGAAGAGATCTCGTGGTGGCAGCCGGAAAGACAAGCAGTGAAACCCCAGAGATACCTGAACTCATCCTGCATGGAAGGCGTTGCAAGGGCACGAGGGCGAAGTTTAAGCTATATAATTTACCATTTCATGCAGTAGCTGCTGGCATGTTTTGAACTTATCAGCCGTACAGTTTCAAATGAAGTAACAGTATTTTCTTTTTCCAATAAATCAAAGCATCAGCATCAACCATTTTTCAAGCCAGCCGAACGGGGCCTTGCAAGCTTACCTGTAGTAGTGTACTTGCAATTGCAAATCTAGCGTGTCCGCTATGCGCCTATCATGCAGAGAAGCCTGTCGATATCCATGGAGTAGTACCTTTTATCTCTTTTTATTTTTTGTTTGTTTAATAGCTCCTGTGCTATCCAGTAATAGTTTTAAAATCTGGGTTTTGTGTTATTTTCTATTTCGTCACCTTGTTTCTAGTTGCTCCTGATATAAAGTTCCTTTGCTCGAAAATCTTTGGAAGTATATGGTCTGATCTATGATGTACTCCTACCAATAAAATTGAGACGTGAATGGATCTTTGAGATTTTTGTTTCATGCAAGGATGGCAAAAGCTTTGCCTTAATTTTCTTTTCTTTTTTTTTGACAAAATACTCGGCGAGCTTTATTGATCGAGAGATATTACATCGTTCATCAAAAACTCAAGAATAAAACTAGGAGGCTCATTATCCCAATTACAATTAAGTTTCGTCCGCATGCCTCGCCTAGCCAGCTCATGCACCGTCTTGTTCGCTTCTCTGCTGCAATGCTCGATGGAGATCATCTGAAACCCGCTTCAAACAATATTACACTCATCATACACAGCAACTGCTGAATTTGCCGAGAATCCTCCGTTTGCCATTGTTTCCACCACTTCCATGTAGTCAGACAGGACAATCACTCGGTTGTAACCTGCATGTTGTGCTAGCAACAACCCTTCCTTCAATGCAAAAGCTTCCGCCATGGGAGCGCCCACCAGATAGGGGAGAAAAGTATGTGAAGCTGCTATCGTTCCCCCCGTCCAATCTCTTATAATAACACCAGTGCTGTCGTTCCCGTTCCTTCATCAAAGGAGGCATCAATATTAACTTTAACAAACTCCTTCGGAGGTTTCTACCAGCCAATAGCTTCTTTGGTGCCCTTTATAGTCGCCATCTTGTAATTCTTTGTTAGGGTAGCAATAAACAAGCGGATCTTGATGGTCACTGAATGTTCTCACCATGCACAAGCTTGCGTCTCTCCCACCGTAGATACCACCACCGCCCGTAGAAGAATAAGCTCTAAAAATCCAAAGACCAAGATGATCTACAATCTCCCCCTTTGAGCACTTCCTCAATAATTATTGACCCATACCGATCAGTGCCTATGACCTCTAAAATTTTCTCCCAAACTCCTAACACAGCCTTTGCTCGGTCATTGGTAAAAATTACATGTTTGATATCTTCAGCACCATTTTTGCAAATTGGTCACCCACCAATGTTGCTGATGTGGCGATTAGCTAGGACAGCCATACATGGAATGAACCCGTGCAGTTCTCTCCATCCAAAAATCTTGATTTTACCTGGCAGGTCCAATTTCCATAAACATTTCCATGCTTGGCTTCTACTCGCACCAGTTTCCTACAAAGTGTGAATTCTTGGACCATACTTACTTTCCCATTGGCAGTGGTAAGCTGACTTCACAGAGAACATCCCATTCCTATTATAGTGCCATGCCACGCAATCTTCTCTCCCCAAGGTGAGTGAAATCTGCAAAATCTAATTTACATCAACTGGCCAGAAAATTGACTTCACCAAATCGACGTCCCATGTTGCATCCACAGGTTGATGTAGGCGAAAAAACAAATGCAGCTCAAAAGCAAGAAAGGAAGGAATAGGGGCGACTTCAATTAGGTTCAAAAGAAATACCAAAACAAGACAGGAGATTCCTCACAACTCCAAAACAAAAGCAAAACGTAAATTCTAATACGTGACCTGTCGCGCCGGAGCGCGGCGCAGGCCCACCCACAGCGCGATGTAGGTCCTCCCCCACCCCACCCTCACAGCAGGCGTGCCGACGTCGGAGATAGAGACCTCACCAACGTTAGGATTCTAGCATCTCTTGCTCCCACGCTCTCTCTCTCTATCTATCTATCTATCTCTCTCTTCTTCTTCTTCTACATGACTCCACGACAGCCATGGCTCGGCGGTGGAGGCGGGCAAGATGGTGGCGGGGAGTGCAAATTTGATATACCAAAAAAATTAAAACGACCTATAATTTGGAACGTAGGGAGTGCATTCTTTCCTATTGTCTATCCAAGTGATCATTCTTTTCAAATTCATGTGTTTTCCAGTCCTTTGTTTTGCAACTATATATTCCTAATCAGTTCTTATGTTTTTTATTAGAATTGCTAAACAACACTCGATCGTTTCTTTTCCTCTCCGCACTTGATTTCCAACGACCGTGCCCACGGCTAGGGATCCGGCGAGGAACTCGCTAGCGTCGAAGACGATGAGCTCGCCGGTGTCGGGTAAGTTTAGCGCGAGCTCTCTACAGCTTCTCTCCCTCTTCTTCTCAAAGTTTGGCGGGCATAGGAGGTTTCGGGGAAGGTAGGGCAGCCAGGCGGTGGGGACGGCGGCCAGGCGGTTTCTAGCGGCGATGGAGGCAGACGGGCCAGGTCGGGGCGGGGGCGCAATGGCTGAAGCTCGCCACAGAAGCCGGAGATCAGGGAGGGGAAGAAGAAGACAGTGCGGGACAGTGGTCGGCGACGGGGGGCGAGGAGGAAGATGAACAGTGAAGAGGAAAGAATAGAATGTCGATCCCTCGGTTATTGGGTAGACAATTCCTATTTTATCGATAATGCTGGGTATAGGGCGTCCGTCCGCCTAGACGGTGCCAATGGTGGGCCACGACGCAGGCCCAGCAACCGCATCTTGTCTGCTCATCCACTCGCTTACTCGGCCCCAACTGTTCTAAAAAAAGGAAAACTCACCTCACAGCAGCGCTGCGATAGCTCTCCTTGACCGCGCTCCGCTACGCCGCCTCAGCAACGACGCTCTCCATCGCGCTTCCCTCTCCACCGCACCTCCGTCTCCATCGCGCCTCCGCTCTGCCGGCCAGCATCTCCTCCGCGCCAAAGCACGACAGCCCATCTTCCTCCCTCTCCACCGCGTCTCCCGCCAGCTGTGTGCTTCTCTAGCGCGCGGACGCACCGTAGCCTTCTCCACGGCACCTGCCGCAACCTTCTCCATTGGAGCAGCGAGCTCCGCGCCATCGGTGAGCTCTACACTGGTGAACTCCACACGCCAATGAGCCTCCATTCCTGAGTAGCAAGAAGATGTTGTACTGAAAGTGCATATTGCAAATATATGTTTCAAGTGTTTCAGATGTTTTAGAGGTATGTTGCAAGTGTTCATATGGATATTGCAAAAGTAGATCGGGATGTTGCATATGCTGCAAGTGTTTTAGAGGCATGTTGCAAGCGTTTATTCAAAGTGTTTCATCTGTTTCAGATGTATGATGTAAGCGTTTTTTATCTGGATGTTGCATATGTTTTACACATATGTTCTAAATGTTTCAACTGTTTTATTTTTATGTTGCAGTAAGTGTTTTCATGTTGCAAATGTATTATCTGGATGTTGCATGTGTTTCACACATATGTTGCAAGTGTATGTTCCAAATGATTCATCTGCTTTAGACTTGTGTTGCATTCAAGTATTTTCATGTTGCAAGTGTTTCGTGTTTTAGAGGTATGTTCATAGAGTCATGGGGCTTGGCCCGGGCGTTAAGGGAAGGGGCGCAGCGAGCTAGGGGCCTTCAGATGGGGCGCACGACGCGCCTGGGGTCCTGCGAACAGGGCGTGCTCGTCCTCATCCAAGCTCCTGGGTCCCGCCCACACAGAGAGAGGAGGGGGTTTGGGGGAAGGAGTGGCAGGCACAGCCGGGCGAGGCGAACGGGAGCGGGGCGAGGCGAACGGAACGGACGTGCGTGGATAGCAGCGACACAACACTGCAGCAGCACGGGCGGATGGTCAAAAGAAGATGCGTGGGGACTTCGGACGTGCTCATCTACTCCGAACGTCCGGGCGCCAATAAGCCCCCATTTTTATTCCTATTTTAGCTTTCCTTTGTTGCAAAGGTGTCTTAAACTGAACCAAAAAAGAGTTTGGAAGTACCCTTGCCAAATAAAATTAGGATTAAGTCTACTTTTGGCCCCTTAACTATAGGGTTCGTCTAATTTTAACCCTCAACTACAAAATCGTCTAGCGGTGATACCCCAATTGTCAAAACCGTTTACTTTTAGCACCTGGGCGAGAGCATGGCTGTTTTGTCCCACGTGGAGCGGGGTTTGACCACGCCACACCGGTGTTGACCGCCACGTAGGATGCCAACCTCCATCTCAGTGACATATGGGGCCCACACGTCACCCACTCATCACCTCCCTTCCCAACGAAGCCGCGCAGGCTACAGGACGCAGGCGCCTTAGCCAGTAAGATATGGCTGCAGGCTCCGGCCGCCGGGGGCAGCTAGCCGCAGGCTTGAAGGCCGCCGCAGATTTTGAGAGGGAGGAGAGCGTCGACAAGGGTAGCGAAGGCGCGCGGCCAAAACGCTACTACACGTGCACGCACAACCATGGCGGTGGAGGAGGCTCGCCGACGAAGCAAATAGCCGCCCACGCGCTTCGGCGGGGAGGCGGGCGTGGGCTCACCGACCACGCGTGCTTTGGCACCCGCTGCCACGATCGTGGTGGGGAGGAGCTGAGGAGACCCCTAGGGCCCCGGTGCTCGCGCCACGGCAAGCACGTCCATCGGCACGTCAGCGATTCGTCGGGCAAAAGAGCGATGCGCCGTCCAAGCTAACGAGTCTACGAGCATATATGGACCAAAGCAAAACCCTAGGCGGCGGTTAGAAGTTAAATGATGAATCAGAAGGCTCACTTACGCCGGGCGGCGAATCGCTATTGGCTGTTGCGCTGACTGTTCGGCAAAGCCTAGAGACAGGAGGGAGTGGTAGATTGAGTGGGAGCATCCACGCCTTACTCGGTGCTAGTAGTGCCTACGGTTGAGGCGGAGGGTGTCGGTTAAAGGCTCGCCACGTCTTGGGCAAATGAGGTTGGCGGCGCTCCACGGCGGACACGGCCACGTCCATCGGCCGAACGATCATGCAGTAGAGGTTCGGTGAGGTGAGCACGAGCTATATCAAGTCTCAAATGAGTTTATTAGTGGTATTTTATTAGACTCTACCGCTTCGTGGAGCTCAACCCCAATTTTCTCTTCATGCGGCTGAAAGTGACCGGAGGGTAAGGGAGAGGTGCAGGCGCGAGAGCCGCATAGAGGAGGCTCAGTGTGGGCGGCATTATTGTTGCGGTTTGTCTTGCCGCTCTGTCTACGGGCATGCGATCAGCATTCTGCAGAGGGCGACGGCCGCTTCTATCGTGGGCGAAGCTCGGCTGGGGCGCAGGGAGGAGGGCGCCGTAGCTTGCTCATGCTATACTTGCCGCTGTTGCTTTCGGCGCCGCCGCCGCAACTTGCTCGAAAGCGCCACCGCCTCCTTTCATGAGCCGTTGTTACCGCATGCTCACGCACTGCATGGCAACTCTTTCGGCTTTCCGCTTTCGGCGTCGCGTTCTTTGTGATGCTGTCGTCGTCGCCGCCGTGGCCGCACTTGCTTGCGTGTGCAGCTGCCTCGCTCCCCGCACTACGCCCCTCGGTTGCCTCCTTCACGAGCGCAGGAACGGAAGGAAAGAGGGCATGTGTAGCGGTCAATGCCAACTGGGCATGGTCAAAACCGCTCCACGTAGGATGAAACAGCTTTGTCCGTGTCCAGGTGTTAAAAGTGAACGGTTTTGACAGTTGTGGTATCATTATTAGACGGTTTTGTAGTTGATGATTAAAATTAGACTAATCCTGTAGTTGAGGGGGGAAAATGGACTTAATCCATAAAATTACTGAGCCTCGCCCCTAAGCTAGCAGATCGTTCCAATACGTGCAGTGTACTCCCTCCCGTTGATCTGTTCCAGCTTCCAAGTCACCTCCTGCTCCGCTTCTACGCTCTTTCTAGAACAACCAAATACCAGCAGCAGAGCAGAGCTAGCAAAGAGCAAACGCGTCACCGGCCACCAGATCTCTCCCGTACTCCCACCCCCGCCTCCGATGAATCCACCCGCCGCCGCCTAGACGCGCCGCCCCCAGTCCCCCACCACCACACTCCGCGCCACCGCCCAATGTCGTCGTCGGAGCCCGATGCCGAGGGCGCCCTCGGCGGCGCCTCCCCATCCGCCCGCGTGCTCGCCCGCGCCCTCGACAAGATCATCAAGCACTCCTCCTGCCGCCGGCACGCCGCGCTCGTCGCCGCCTCTAAGTCCGCGCTCGACCTCCTCTCCTCCTCCCCGGCTCCTGATGACGAGCCCGACACCTCCTCGCCCTCCCCCGTCCCCGGCCTCCCAGCGCCCGCCGCCGCCGCCGCCCTCGCCGCACTTCTCCTCGCGCTCGACCCGGCGTCCCCGAAGGTGGCCGAGCCCGCGCTCGAGTGCGTCGCCGGCCTCCTCTTCCTCCGCCTTCTCCTCGGCGACGTCGACGCGGTCGACCCCTCCCCGGTCCCGAAACTCTTCGCCGCGGTGCTCTCCTGCATCTCGCTCGGTGGCGGCGGGGACGAAGCGCTCGAGCTCGCCGTGCTGCGCGTTCTCGTCGCTTTCGCGCGGTGCCCGGGCGTCTCCGTCAGCGGGGAGTGCCTGGGCCAGGTGGTCAAGGCGTGCTACAACGTCTACCTCGGGAGCGCCAGCGGCGGCAACCAGCTCTGTGCCAAAATGGCCCTCGCACAGGTGCTGGTCATCGTGTTCGCGCGCGTCGAGGCCGACGCCATGGACGTCCGCGTGCGCACTGTCTCCGCTGCCGACATGATTGACCTCTCTGACCGCAGCCTCAACGACTCCAGCGTCGTACAGGCGGCTCAGGTGTTCTTAAACGAGGCCATGGAGGGGAGCGACGTGCCGGAGGAGGCACCCCCTGTAGATGCGGCATCAGTTGAGGCGGAAGGCACTGGGGAGGATGGTGGAATAAGCAAGATAAGGGAGGATGGCCTGGCTTTGTTCAAGAACCTATGCAAGTTGTCAATGAAGTTTGGTACGCCTGATAGCCCCGAAGATCCAATGCTATTAAGGGGGAAGGTGTTGTCGCTGGAGCTGGTTAGGATGGTCATTGACAATGCAGGGCCATTCTGGAAGACGAATGAAAAGTATGTGCCATACCATGATGGTTCTGATTATCAATTTTATTGCAATGTTTCATTACGAGTCTCCGCTGGTTATGTTGCATTGAATCTTAATGGTTGTGGGTGATAAGATGTTGCATTAAGTCATAATGGTTGTGGGTGATAAGAGTAGAACCGTGGAAGCCAGGAACGGTAAAGTGGGATATGTGGAAGTGAAACATATGGTCTGTTTGGACAAGCTGTGATGCTCCAATTTTTGGGGCTTGGTTGAAATTTTAACTGAACCAATCTGAGAGCCTTTGCAAGGTCTACTATGTTTTCCACTTTCGCTGGTTGGGCACTGTTATTTTTTGTTCATGTTTATATCTGTTGCTGGGGCAAGGATCTAATTGGTGAAGGAAGCAATGACGATTTTATCATATAAGTATATAACTAAAATGAGAGCTGCAAGAGAGTACTGATGGATATTTAACAATCTAGATTTTTTTCCAACTAGAAGGGCGGGCCTGGTGCAAGCGGTAGAGTCTTACTGCCTGTGACCGGAAGGTCCTGGGTTCGAGTCGCGGTCTCCTCGCATTGCACAGCCGAGGGTAAGGCTTGCCACTGACACCCTTCCTAGACCCCGCACAGAGCGGGAGCTCTCTGCACTGGGTACGCCCTTTTTTTTTAGATTTTTTTCCAACCGTGTGCATACCCCATGTCCCCATGCATGCTGACATTACATGCATGGATGGTACACAGACCCTCAGACCTGCAGATCCGAACCAATACTGGTGGTGGTAATAAGAGAAAATGCTAATGAAAACCATTATGGTGTGATTGGTACTCTAAATTGTAATCTGTGTTTTTTTTAAAAAAAAATATGATAAAGCTTAGTCATGTGGGGATGTATCCAACAAGCAGCAACACCACAAATAATTCGTACTGGAAGTTGTTTTGCTCATTTGATGTAGGACTGCTGAATTGATTATAGGCCCAACAGACAATGCAAATGACTGATCCTGTATTTTTTATCTCCTATTAATGCAGGTATCTTGAAGCAGTTAAGCAGTACCTTTGTTTATCCTTGTTGAAGAATAGTGCCTTGTCTGCAATGAGTGTCTTCCAGTTATTGTGTTCCATCTTTATGAGTCTAATATCAAGGTTTAGATCTGGTTTGAAAGAGGAAATTGGAATGTTTTTTCCTATGCTTATCTTAAGAGTTCTTGAAAATGTTCTCCAGCCTAGCTTTTTGCAGAAGATGACAGTTCTAAACTTTTTGGAGAAGATATCTGAAGAACCTCAGGTTATTATTGATATCTTTGTGAACTTTGATTGTGATGTTGATGCACCAAATATTTTTGAAAGGTACGCTATTATTATTTTTGGATGGGCATTCTCCTTCAGTTTCATTTTTTTACTTGAGCACAATTATTCTCTTCTAGTTCTGCTGTACCAAAGATATGCCTCTCTCTTTATAAGTCTACAGTGAAGCAGTTTTAATTCTATCTGGTCTTCACAGGATTATTAATGGACTTCTAAAGACTGCTTTAGGTGTCCCTACTGGATCTACAACAACATTAACTGTTGCACAAGACCAAACATTTAGGATTGAGTCTGTCAAGTGCCTTGCTACTGTTGTTAAGTCGATGGGTGCATGGATTGACCAACAACTGAGAATTGGTGAATTTTCATCAGGCAGTTCTGAAACTCTAAGTTCAGCTGAGAACCATAATATTCATAATGGAGAAGAAGGGAGCGGAATAGATTATGAACTGCAGCTTGACACTAGTAGTTCTGACATAACTGACTCTTCCTCACTTGAGCAACGGCGTGCTTACAAGATAGAGCTTCAGGTGTGGTTGCTTGAACTATGGTTTCCCCACAATTAGACTTTCTATCTTTGGGATAACTATAAGATTTTTTTTTTGTTTGTTTGCAGAAAGGAATTACCTTGTTCAACAAAAAACCTTCCAAAGGTATCGATTTTCTCATTCGGAGCAAGAAAATAGTCAATTCTCCAGAAGATGTGGCTTCTTTCTTGAGAAATACTGCTGGATTAAATGCAACAATGATAGGCGACTATTTGGGTGAGAGGGATGACTTTCCCCTCAAAGTAATGCATGCTTATGTGGACGCTTTAAACTTCGAAGGCATGGACTTTGGTCAAGCAATTAGGTTCTTCTTGCAAGGTTTCAGGTTACCAGGAGAAGCTCAAAAATTGACCGGATCATGGAAAAGTTTGCTCAATGCTACTGTAAATGCAATCCAAATGCTTTTACTAGTGCAGATACAGCATATGTTCTTGCTTATTCTGTGATCTTGCTAAACACTGATGCTCATAATCCGACGGTGAAGAACAAGGTATGCTAATTATGATTTTATTATCATATGGGAATGTCAATAAAGCAATGTAGATATTTTTACTCCATCACAGGTAATGTAAATTTTCTTGTGCAGATGTCTAAGGCAGATTTTATGCGCAACAATCGAGGAATAGATGATGGGAAGGATTTGCCAGAAGATTATTTGAGTACACTGTATGACCAGATTGTCAACAATGAAATCAAAATGACTGCTGATTCTTCAGTTGCACAAACCAAGCAATCCAATAGTGTAGGCAGGCTTCTAGGCTTGGACAATATTATCAACTTTGTCAATTGGAGATCAGCAGAAGACAAGGCAGTAGGAGCAAATGACTTGCTCATTAAGCACATACAGGAAAAATTCAAAGCAAAACGTGGGAAATCAGAGTAAGATCTCCATCATTCTATCAGAAAGTACTTATTGGTCTCAGCGACATTTTATTAATTTGAGCTTGTATGTAATACAGGTCCACGTTTTATGTTGTTGCTGATGCAACCATTTTAAGATTCATGATGGAGTCCTGTTGGGCACCTATGATGGCTGCGTTCAGTGTGCTCCTTGATCAGTGTGATGATAAGGCTGCTACATCACAGTGCTTGAAGGGATTAAGATTTTCCGTGCACATCACTTCTGTTATGTGCATGCAGACACAGAGGGATGCTTTCTTAACATCCATAGCCAAATTCACATCTCTCCATTCTGCTGCAGACATGAAGCAAAAAAATATTGATTCTATGAAGGTAAGAGGCCACACAAAACATATTTTGTTTATCGAGTTTTGATAATTTGTTGCTGGGTGATCTATTTTTTAAGCAAGGTACCTAAAGGCTTACTTTCCCCCATAATACCTTGTTGCAAAACACAATGACAGTTACCATCTGACATGGTGGGACTCACAACAGTCTGGAAAATGGTATTCTTGATTTTCTAATGCTTTCTCCAGCATGTATTAAATGTTCATTTTGTTTCGCTGAGGATCTATCCAACATTTATGATACAGCATGGTTGGGCCACTTAAATATTTCTTTATGCTGTACTTTATTAGCACATTTGTTCACACATACGAATGTTTCAAAGCTGTGGGATATTGGGGGTGATAAATTTACTTTATGTCCTTGAACAGGCTATAATATCTATCGCAATCGAAGATGGCAATTACTTGCAGGAAGCTTGGGAACATGTATTAACTTGTTTATCACGGTTTGAGCATTTACATCTGCTTGGAGAAGGGGTTCCCACTGATGCATCCTTTCTGACAGTACCTCTGATTGAGTCAGAAGAAAAAACTAATAAGTCTACTTCTGTCCTAACTTCTAAGAAGACTAATGCTCTTCAGAATCCCGCTGTGATGGCTGCCGTTAGAGGGGGTACTTACGATAGCACAGTGGCAAAAGGCAGTGCGTCAGCACTGGTCACTCCTGAACAGATCAATAATTTCCTATCAAGCATTAATTTATTGGATCAGATTGGCATTGTTGAGTTAAATCATATCTTTGCCCATAGCCAAAGATTAAACAGTGATGCTATTGTTGCTTTTGTGAAAGCTCTTTGCAAGGTCTCAATGACTGAGCTGCAGTCTCCAACAGATCCTCGTATCTTCTGCCTTACTAAAATAGTAGAGATTGCGTAAGAAAATTCCTAAAGTTTAATTAAAAAATCTGGTATTTACTAATGGCAACAGCAGCCACAACTTTATGTTTTTTTTACTATTCTCATTTCTAACTTCATTTGTGCAGGCATTACAATATGAATCGCATACGTCTGGTGTGGTCACGTATTTGGAAAGTCTTGTCAGACTTTTTTGTGTCTGTTGGGTTGTTGGAAAATCTTTCTGTCGCTATATTTGTGATGGACTCTCTGAGGCAGCTGGCTATGAAGTTTCTAGAAAGGGAGGAACTGGCAAACTATAACTTTCAAAATGAGTTCCTTAGACCTTTTGTGATTGTTATGCAGAGGAGCAATGCTCCAGAAGTACGAGAGCTGATTGTTAGGTGCGTCTCACAGATGGTTCTGAGTCGGGTTAATAACATAAAGTCTGGGTGGAAGGGTGTTTTTATGGTATGTATGATTTCTATATTTAGTTTGTTGAGGTTTTTGTTCAATCTTACCTGTGAGGTAGTGACTATTGCGTCCTGCCCTGTAACTTTTCATCAACTTGCAGGTTTTTACTTCTGCCGCAGCTGATGATACAAGAAGTACTGTCCTATTGGCATTTGAGACGGTGGAAAAAATTGTTCGAGATTATTTTCATCACATAACTGAGACAGAGACAACAACATTTACTGATTGTGTTACTTGTCTTATTGCATTTACAAGTAGTCAGTTTAACAGCGACGCCAATCTCAATGCTATTGCATTTCTGCGATTCTGTGCTGTTAAACTTGCTGAGGAAGGATTTGCTTGTCAAGATAGGGCTTTTGAACAACCCAGGAATTCAGCCATGGTGTGTGGTGGAAATGCCACTGTGCAAAAAGATGGTCATATTTCCCTCTGGGTGCCTCTCCTTGCAGGTATGGCATTTTCCTCCCTTCAAAATATTATATTTAGTTCACTTCATGTAAATTGTTGGATGATAATCTGAAGCACTGACCATGTTTTTATCAATTGTGCATTTCAGGTTTAGCTAAATTGACAACTGATCCAAGACTGACTATCAAGAAAGGTGCTGTAGGAGTACTTTTTGACATTTTAAAGGATCATGGAAACCTGTTTTCACTGACTTTTTGGACCGATATCTTTGAACATGTTGTTTATCCTCTATTTAGCAATGAAAGATCCACACCCAGTGACCAGATTTCATCATCAAATTCCGCAGAGTATAATTTACCTGATCTTGAGACACAAACGTTGGCAGTGAAATGCTTGGTGGGTTTGTTTGTTAATTTCTTCGATGTGATACGGCCAGAACTTGGTAGAACAGCATCCATTGTTACATTTTTTATCAGAAGCCCCTACAAACATTGTGCTACTATTGGTGTATCTGCAATTATGCGTTTAGCAGAGGGGGTTGGTAACAAACTTTCCAAGGAGGAATGGAAGGAGATATTGATCTTATTTAGAGAATCAGTGACGCACACCTTCATCATGTTCTCTAAAATTGTAAGGATGATGCAAGATATTGATATCCCAGATAGAATTGATTCTTATTCAGAAACCGAGCAATATTTGGATCAAGAGATGTATGGTAATGATGAAGAGGAAGCGAATATGGAGACAACTTCTTATGCTATTGTCAAACTGAAGAATCATATGGCCCTACTGCTCATGGTGATACAGGTATCCTTTTTTTTGACCGAATTTATTAAATTGCTCTTATTGGTAGGCCAGATGCAAGATTCAAGTAGGGTTAGCTATTTGGATTTTAGTTCAATAGCTCAGGTTTGGTTCTCCACTAGAATAAACTTTTGGAGAGCAGAGTGGAATAATGGAATGATGACATCGGGAGAGGGATGGTGTTAAAGTTGCTAAACTGTGGTACCATTATGTCCCTGGACTGTTAACTATTAGGCTTCCTCGGGTGCTGCAGCTTTGGCTTCCATCTACCTGTGTACGCTGGCAAATAATGAGCAAGGATGTGGAGTAAGAGAGGCTTCTTACTTCTTGCTTACCCCAATAAAGATGTCATGCGTCCTGTTAAGTAGTGGCTGGCCCTAACAAAATCAATCTAGAAATAAGAACAAAATTTAAGTATAAACTAGCATGGCAATAGAATGACTTAATTCAAACTATCCTGTTTGAACTGTGCCTTTATAGGATTGTAAGGGCCTTTCTACACCCAAAACGCTTGCCAATGAGATGAGGGGCTTCCAACTTTCAAGTTGGGTGCACTGCCCTCCAGTCAATGTGGGACTGTGCTAAGTTCTAACAACCTTCCTCAGTTGCCCCTATGTGACAGTTTACCTCTATTAAGATGGCACTATATATGCCTTAGATTGGTTTTTATTACACTGAAAACCTCTTAACTGATGACAAGTAATCTAGAAATGATCAGTCTTTCCTTTTGAATTTTCTGACAATCACATTAACATGGCAGTATTTTGTATTCTTTTATGCAGAACATTATTAAATTATACGAGGAGCATAGAAAATATCTTCATGCCGAGCATATTAGTATTCTTTTGGAGATGATGTCAGCTATTGCGACCCATTCAAGTGAAGTGAGCTCTGAATCATCCTTGCAGATGAAATTTCATAAAGCATGTTCCCTTTTGGAGGTATCTGAGCCAGCAATTGTTCATTTTGAGAACGAATCCTACCAGAGTTACATCAAACTTCTTCAAGCTCTGCAACATGACTATCCATCCTTGTCAGAAGAAATGAACATAGAGTCTCAAGTGCTTGATACCTGTGAGCAAATATTGCGAACATATCTGAAGTGCACAGGACACAAACCATATGATGAAACGTCTCAAAGAAATCCATCTTTACATTATGCAGTGCCGCTGAGCGCTGCTAAGAAAGAGGAATTGGCTGCAAGGACTCCTCTGGTCCTTCAAGTGATGAAATTGCTGGGTGATCTGGAGAGGGATTCTTTTAGCAGAATATTACCCTGCTTTTTCCCATTTTTGGTTGATCTGATCCGCTGTGAACATAGCTCTGGAGAAGTTCAACATGCACTGTACAATATCTTCCAATCAGCCATTCTCCCCATGATACGAGTTGAATAGCAGATTGTGACCCACCAATTGTACAGTTTTGTGACCCCCACTTAGGTTATGTAATTCAGTTCATTATGGCATCACCCCACTAGAGGGGGTATACCTATAGGTTGGCACCTCAGCCCTAACTGATTATACCTCTGCAATATCAAATACAAGGTGAAATATATCGGTAGTTCTAGGTGTTGTCTTACCGCTGTAACATCTGAATCCCAACTGAGCCGGTTGTATTGTCTCGCAGGTTGACGTAAAAATGCTGCAGGGTCTGCCATTCAGCGGAAGTTCTATGGTGGATCTTTGTTAATATTCATTTACCTTTAATCAATGATGTTCATCATATATGCTGGAGACAGGCAGAAAGACACGGGTATGGAATCATATAAGCCTATGCACCCGGGCAATTTTCCATGACCCAAAAGTCAGGTGACCTCGGCTTCCCAGAGCCCCATGTTACCATTGTCAATTGCCATCCCCACGATGGAGTTTATATATAGCACAAGAGCTAAGAACCATTTTGAAGTTACTACTGGCTTTGCTACGTCGATTATTTAAAACCATAAACTAGAGGTAGATGCCGCCCAAATATGATTTTCAATTTTGTTTATTTTTTAATTATGTATGTAGTATTTCTTATCCATAGAAACAGATGAATAGTATGGCGAATATGGCCCAGTGTTTTTCCCATCTGTTGCACCTTGCAACAAATCACATTCTTTCCCAAGATAGGGCTGTCATTATTTGATTACAGTTGACATAGGTGATATAGTTTACAGTTTCAGGATAAATAATGTACATGACTCACTGACGATGCAATGACACTGAAATACCTATGCCCTAATGAGACATGGAAACATGCACTGAAGATACTGAAAAGGTGCGAAGAAGAGAATTAATATACACAACCAGATGTTTTGAAAGAATGGACCTGTTCTACGATTTGGACCTACCACATGACCTATATTATACACAGGTTGGAGGCCGGACTCCATTTCCGGCATCCACTTTGGTCCATGCACAGACCACCAGCTATCAGAATTTCTGGCAGGAGATGGGAAATGTACAGACACTGACAGAAGCTGAGCAAGAGGGGCACTCGAGCTTTCCTGCCCCATCCAGCGGAGCAGATCAGACATTCACATTATAAGAAGTTCTGGTAACCATGGATAAGGACAACCTGCAATATGATATGAAACAGTACATCAATCAGCCTAGATGCAGCATAGACTGATGCCCTTTAATAAATGGGCCTGCTGCAAATATTAGATAAATGTGATAACTAACCTTTAGAGTGCAAAAGAAAACAATTTGCAAGAAAAAAAAGCATGCCACCCAATTTAGCGGTACGACTTTTCTTAGTCCTGCTGCAGACTATTGGATGCCTACAGAGAGGAAAACAAGATGTTACAACAGATTAACAGGAATATTTCAGAGGCAAACAGTAAACACACCTAAAATTCGTCACTTTCTGGCATCCTTGTCAACCTGTCGTTTGTTCAGAAATGTTGTTCTGCGGGAATGGCGGTGCATGAGCAGGGACCAAAAGCTGCTGAGGTCGTGGAGCTCCTGTTTTCACAAAAGTGCTTTATAAATTATATGAAGAGCATGATAAGCTATGGCGCCCTACACAATTGAAAAATATTCTTGGACAAGTTCATTTGATTCGACTCAACAGTGAATTTCTTACCTGGAGGAAATTGTTGCTGAACTGGTGGTATGCGCACAACATTTGCAGCATTAACATTCTGATTCGATAGTGGGAGAACATGACTTGGGGCATAACCAGGAGAATAAGCATGATCACTTGGTACAGGTTGGCCAAATTGCCCATATGGGTAGACTGCCGGGCCTACTGTCCTTGGGCCACCATAAACTGGAACATACTGTTGTCCAACATATGGACCATATGCATTCTACAAAGCTAAAAATAAAACAAATGAGCAATAATTTAAATTTATTTCATTTAGTCAAGAAACGGATGTGGTTTAATGTTTCTGGAGTTCTCAACCTGCTGATATAGGTATTCAGGTCCATATGCTGATGGCCTGCGTTGAAAAAACAAATGGTCATTACTTAAACAGATAGGCTGCTCAATTGGAACTGAAAAACTACTCCTGTAAAGGAATACTATATGTACACTGCATCCTGCTAATCATAGAGTTCCAGACTAGCTACAACTACAACTTTAATCATATTGCCAGACATTCACAATCAAACAAGAGATCAAATTCATAGCTGTACATGATCTTTGCCAACAAGCAATGAATGAGCTGTTAACCTACCCATAAGAAGGATATACAAAGGCCTGTGAGTAGTTGTATGGGGATTGCTGATATGTTGGGCTTTGCACATACATGCCCCCTGGAACCGCCACACCTCCATTGTATGGGATGACCGGCCTTATAGGTGCTACTATACCACATTGAAAAGAAGGGGAAATTTTGTCACAATAATTGAATACACACACAGGCTAAAAAGGTAAACATGCGTGCATTAAGAAAATTTGTTTGCTATAAGTTTTTGCAACTGAGACTAGCATACAGTATTAGTGAAACTTGTTGGCTTAATACACCCGAGGAGTGTGGATGGATCATGGAGTTATAATTCACTTTGGACTTTTACTGGTGGGTCCTGGTCAGTAATTTTCTGATAGACAAGGCACAAGCCTTTTTTATAGCAAACTTAAGAAAACTTTGCTATTTTTACTCTATAACAGCACGTATACGAAAGTATTCAAGAAGGCTCATGAATAAGCAGTAAACATCTCAAAAAGCATTGCATTCCATCACGAGCAAAGATGTGGATCAACGCTTCATCTTGTGATGATTAATATCTCCAATTCCAATTTGCAGACCATGAAACAGATGCCTGACATGTTTTTACTCTATAACAGCACGTATACGAAAGTATTCAAGAAGGCTCATGAATAAGCAGTAAACATCTCAAAAAGCATTGCATTCCACCACGAGCAAAGATGTGGATCAATGCTTCATCTTGTGATGATTAATATCTCCAATTCCAATTTGCAGACCAGGAAACAGATGCCTGACATGTAAGTGGACAATTTTTATTGAAAAGCAGTGATGCTTGCCCACCCTTTCTACCACCCACCAGCTCATACTCTGTTATCTATTATTCTCTTCAATCAAGTCCAACACTACTATCTCTCCCCAAACATAGTTGGCAGAGAGGACTAGTAGCTGTGTTGGTTTGTATATTTTTGACAGCTAATGCTTTATTTTCATAAATGAGCTCGTAGAAGATCCTACAATCTTCTTTGGGGCTAGAATGTTCAGGCAACGAATTAAATACCTACTAGTCCTGAACTGACAAGTCGTTTTCCCTCAGTTAGAACTAGTGACAAGACTATTAGTTGGTGTTGAAAAGATGGGGCGGGGTGAAACTAAGCATCAAGTTTTGTAACAATGAAATCATAGAAATGCCATGATTGTGGTGACCCCAAATCTCCAATACATTGGGAATAGAGCACTGATTAACAAATTACTTTGCACCAAGAGCGTAAGCGGATGGAAAGAATCATACGTATATTTGACAGCTATGCAATTAGGAAATCAGGGAACCAAGTTAGCAGACCTACCGAAAGGCAAAGCTGGACCAGGCCTCCCTAAGATGGCAAGGTTGCAATTAGCGCGTCGGCCGTCGATAACTGGGTATGGGTCCATGCAGGCCATCCTCGCTGACTCTGCGTCCCGGAAGGTTACCTATACACACATCCACACATGATTAAAGTGAATCAAAAGTAGGAAAAAGACGAAATGTCTGAGCCAAATTTGGAACCCCCCAAAAGGCCAAAGGTGCTCTGTTTTCACCATACCCCCGTGGAAAATTCTGATAGTTCCCTGATTCATACAAGAAAGAATGCTAAATTTCTTTTCAAATTCCGACGCCAAAATTTGAACTAGGTTCCTGAAAAGCCTGAACACAGAAACCCTAGAAATGCTGAACACGGCAACTTTCACTAGCTCCTGGTAACAAAATTTAACTATTTCCCTCAATCCTGTTGGTAATAAGTCAACAATCCACCAAAATTCCTAAGTATGGAATGCAAAACTCCCAAATTCAAAGACCTTCACTGCCAATTGCCACCACCACAACGGCATATACAGATGATCACAAAACCTCCCAATTCAACCCGCAAAGTTCACCTTTGCACACAGAATCACAACATTCAACTCCAGAATCGAACACAACCTTACGCTCCAGAATCGAACCTGGCCCCTGATCCCCAACCAAGGAAAAAAGAAGTACAGAGCAAACGCCCCAAGCAGCATAGCACATACGAACAAGAAAAAAAAAAGAAACAGGAGGAAGGCGTGCTCACGAATCCGTAGCCCTTTGAGCGGCCCGTGCCGCGGTCGGTGATGACAACGGCCTCGAGAATGTCCCCGTAGACCTCAAAGTGGGCGCGAAGCCCCTCGCTTCGCGTCTCCCAGGCGAGGCCGCCCACGAAAACCTTGGTGAAGGTGGTATCTCCGTATGGGCCGCTCAGGTAGTGTAGCGCCGGCGGGCCCCAGCCGCCGCCTCCGCCGCCACCTCCTCCTCCTCCGGTCCCCGCCGGCGACCGCTGCGGCGTCATCCCTGCCGCGGCCAGCCCACGCGCATGCACGAGAGCGCGCGCGCGCGTAGCCGCAAACCCTAACCCTAGCAAGCAGCTGCCGACTAAACGCGACACGACACAGGCGCAACAAGTGGGGAGGCGAGCAGCGGAGGCGGCCGGGTTAGCTAAAAGCTAGGGCTGATAGGCCCGCGCGCGCAGGCGGGGGCGTAATTATAGCGGTGGGGATGGCGCTAATCGGAGCGGCGGTTATTATTAGCGGTTGGATTACGCGGGAGCGGGGCGGGGGCCGGAAGTTGGTTGGTAAGGGCTGTTTGCAACTGCCGAGCAACGAGCGCGCCAGAGACTACTAGTAGAGGCCTCAGCGGGAACGGCCGGACGAAGATGGGGACTGGAGAGAGCTGAGGGGCCCCGTGGCCTGTGGGAAATGGGGGCA